ACACATGGTGATATTGATTCAAAATGAGACCTTTATCTCTTTATACATAGTGATATTGATTCAAAATTAGACCTTTATCTTTATCTCTATCCACATGGTGATATTGATTCAAAATGAGACCTTTATCTCTTTACTCATGGTGCTATTGATTCAAAATGAGACCTTTAGCTCTTTACACATGGTGATATTGATTCAAACATGGAACGTATCATACTATGTATCTCGTGGAGCTCAGTCCATGATCACGATGTATTTCCGATTCCACAGCCCTCGTCGAATGGTCAAGGAACAATTAATCGTGGCTCACTTCTCCCAGTCTGCTGAAGCCTCCCTCGAGAAACTTTTATTTTCTCCCCTCACTGCGTACTAAACCATCAACAGTGTTATCAGGTTCATACATATCCCTTCACAGTATTACAAATCACCCCACCCCTCGAAACTGATAAAAGTACACTGAGCAGTGTAATATACGAGACATATGTAACACGAGTTAAATGTTATACGTTAAGCTTATTTCTACCACATTATTCATCAGAACTACTTTACTTGATTACCAGATTACTATTATATATTGTTACGTTTAGGAACGTTAAAAAGTAGCAAAACAAAAGAGTAAAGCCAACAAGCTTGTAAATTTTAGCAAAATAATTTAAAATAGTAAAATTATGAAATAGGACTTACAGTTTGTGATTATAAACCAAAATTAATCCTAGAATAAAAAAGTATAAGTCCTATGACTGAAAGTATTAATGTGAATCCAGGATCGAATCTCGATGAAGTTTAATATGGAAGGCGATGACGTCAGTTGAGGTTGTTGTGCTGAAGGCAAAAGGTATTTGTTGAAACACAGTTTAATATGTTCTGTTTTAGAAGTCCAGAATAAATGTTCACTTAATATCTTATCTTATAATTTTTTATAAACAAAAGCACTTGTTTTGTTTTGCAGAAAATATGAATTATTAAATCCCCAAAAAGTAAATGAACTTCAAAACAAACTGGCCTCAACAATTAAACACATCTCGAGTTTTAAAATGTAAGAATACGACTGAAAAATGTACTATAAAATGGCTGTTTTAAGCCGCGATCTTAGATCACATGGTTGCTCACATCGCGGAATATTGATCACTAATTTGAACCGCACAATGGACAATGCCATTTGTCATGCAGGCTAGCATAGCATTATCTAGAAAGTCAGATTCTCACGCTAGAAATGAATGATAAAAAAACTGTTTACAACAGGGGTAACACATGGGCCAAATATGACATTGGTAATAGCCAATCATTTTCACTCAGTGTTTACGAATTTCTGAAACAAGATCGCCTAAAATTAAAATGTATCAACAGGATTATTTACTAGAAGTGACCTGGATTTTATGAAAATACAGTGAAAAATTATCATTACAATAAAAAGTAATGAAACAAAATGACAAAAAATAGAAATTTGAAACTAACACAAATAATTTAATTGCATATTCGTAACAGCACACATGTATGTCCGAAGAGAAAAATCTCACCGGATAATAAGACCTCGAATATTATTCATCACTTTATTCATGCAACATCGCTGAATTCAACTCATCGGTTTTCAGGTATGAAAATTTTTACTAACTTTAGACAAACTAAACCCTATCCAATATCATGGCATTAGGTGACATAGGTTTGACTTACTAGAAACTTTATAATAAATTTCCAAGCAAGCAATATATAAAACAATTTTATCACCCAAAACTGATAGGAAGGAGGAATACATTTTCGTTCATACACCGCACATTACCATAAAATACACACAATTCCGTAACTGTAAAAGTAATTCATTTCTTAGCAGTTTCATGTTTCCAAATTTATATCTGATAAGTGTGCATCAGAAATGTACCATGGGCACTTTTTTCTTGATAGCAAAAGTTTCATATTGTCCTGGAATGAACGCCATTTTCATCACACAATATGCTATACATGGCATCCGGGATAATTGATTAAAAAAATGAAACACCTACCGAACTAAAGGAAGGTATTTTCAAACTTTCTTGTATACCCACGTTGTTTGAGTCCGAGACTCGAACTCACGCAGACAGACACAAAGATTTCTGATTGGCAGAACAAATTATATTCATGAATATTTGAGACGTCAATGAAACACCTTAGCCTCAAAATTTGCTTTAGGTTCTTTCGTTGTACTGAAGGCTTATTTTTTTGTGTCATTAGCAGCAGAATGGTAATCACATATTTATTTAAAATATTCAGCCTAAAACCAGTAAGGCAGATCCATTCTTTACGATGTTACTAAATATGTTCAATACTAGCATTAACACAAGGTAAGCATTAATGTTTAATTGCAGACACGTTCGAACTTAAGTTGTCTTACCTGCAGACGATATAGCGATGCTGTGACTTCTGCACACACCACTCTTTTGTAAATGGAATCAAGACCTCACTTAGCACATTCCATATAACCTGGGAAACATCTCAAAACATTTTAATGGTCATCCTTTGAGGTCACTAGCACAATACTAATACCACATCAAGATGACCATAAATCAAAACCAATGCTACAAAATAACTTTAGAAGGTATAATCTCCATCAGCCAGGATCAAATAATCATTTACTGTTATATGACATGCATCCAACAAGACACAAATAATTATGCTGCCTACATTTCAGTGGAATCGAGATATCCTACGAGGGAAAATGTAAGAATACTGACCGCGCTCTCAAGGAGACGAAATCGCTCGCTGCCTCTGCAGATTCATCTCCCAACATGAATGCCGACAAGATATAATCCAAAAAGAAATAACCCAACATGGACTGCATGCAAGTATTTTGATCATTGCTCTTTTACATATAGGAAATCTTGCCTTTTTGTAAACAAATGTATGTATGTATGTATGTATGTATGTATGTATGTATGTATGTATGTATGTATGTATGTATGTATGTATGTATGTATGTATATATGTATGTATGTATGTATGTATGTATGTATGTATGTATGTATGTATGTATGTATGTATGTATGTATGTATGTATGTATGTGACTAAAAAATGAGTCTCCTTTAGCTTTCTTAAAGTTCATTACTTTTTCTAAAGTTCATCAGTCATGATTCTATATGTTCAACAGCTTTTGAAATTTGCAGTAATGGTTAGCATATCTGACGCCAAAATCGACATTTGTCATTAATGCTTGTATTTGGTGTGTGTAGATAAGAAACTAAAATTAATGAATGTTGAACAATAAAGGTCACGCCTGAAGGAAGAAATTTCATGCACAGTCTTTCACAAACATTGTATTATTTCAGACACGTGAAACTGGCTCATTGTCTAAACGAGAAGCAACCACGTATCTATAGAGAGACAAGAAAACTACTTCATTGCAGCATGTACTCCTTTTCAAGATTCACCTGTCTTATGGAAATTCCTCAGCACTCTTATTATATGGCTTAGTAACGCTACCGATTAACAAACTAATCTCTGATAGGACTTTTCTCTGTTCATGAGTAATCGTGTTCAGTCTACTTATATTTTAGTATTCCTAATTATTAAAGGTTTTGACTATAATCAGCATAAAAGTTTGCTATTATCTTTTTGTATAGTAGATTGTATGCAATATATTTTATTTGACATATCATAATGTTGTATTTTATAAGCTTTACAAATAAAATGAATAGACTTTGATTGAATGTGTACATTTGTTTCAAAACATTCAATTTTAACAAAATACAATAGGCTGGGTATGAATAAGTAGATGGATTGATTCATGCCGACATTTTACCTGACTGCAGTCTGAGTTATGAACCATTTACCGCATTTAATTTTGTTTCTGCCAAATAACTTTTGATAATACTCACCAAATATTTAGTTTTCATTGTCATTTTTCGACATTTTCCTTTTAGTCTACAAAATACTGACTTCCCTGATTATAATTTCTTAAAGATTGTCGAGCCCAATGTGCAAGCTCAAAGTCTCAACATAAGATATGGTACATATACTTCAAAGCCGTCTTGAAGGATGATTGTGTTATTTAGACTTGACCATAACAAAATTTCTTAAAATCTTGAATTTCTTTTTTTCTATAAATATGGTATATTTTTGGGGAGGGGGAATTTATAAACAGTTTGAATTTTCGGGCTCGCATACAAAGTTTGCATAGTGTGCCTCAAGAGTTTCGAGAATAAAGTACCTATTTCCTCAAACATTTATTCGCAAAACAAAACATTACCTCAATAACAGTTATTAAAGGCCAAATAAATGTACTTGTTTCTTATCAGCCGTCCGTCCCTGTGTTTCGTTGCCGAACAAAGCACTTCCACACACCGGTAAAAGAAATAATTATAATAAAGTCCCGAAACAGATTTAAATTTATTTGTGCATCTACCTGTTTAAAGCCTACCTATCCTAATTTTAAAATCAGTGCAATTGGAAATATACATATTTGTTTTGGTTTAATAAGATTCACTCTGGATGATACATCAAGTAACGATTAGAACAAACTTGAATTTTTTATCCAGTTTTAAGATTTTTACTTTGTTATCAACTCAGTTTGAAACATAAAGTTAACATGAAGTTAAAGTTTTTTTCTGGACAGAATCCTGCACGTAAACTGTTAACTTGTTATGCAATGGACAATCAGGTTATCCTTGAGAATAATATGACAACAAGCTAATTCTCAAGCAATATAAAGGCTTTCATGTCATATCTGACCCTTAGCAGAGTCCTTCACAGGTGATGGTCCATGAACTAGGAGGTAGGTGTGTGTGTGTATGTGTGTGTGTGTGATTTAGATTTTTAAAGTAGCTTTAACAATACTTCAGTCATATCGCTACGATGTCTGCAGTGTGATAGTTAATAGTGATGTCTTGCACTGGGGCATCATGCCGCAGACATGTGGCATGATGTCCCACCCAGTCACATTATCCCGACACCAGGCCAACCAGTCCTAACACTAACCTCTTAATGCTGAACGCCAGGCGAGGCAGCTTTTAGTACCATTTTTAAAGTCTTTAGTATGACTCGGCTGGGGTTCGAACCTGCGACCTACCGCATCCGAGACGGACGCTCTAACCATTAGGCCACGAAAGCGGTTAGAACTAGGAGGGATATGATTTCTAAAACGTGCTTTACTCTATGGTACATAGCAGATGTCTGTGTCATTAAGAATACTGAACCATTCTGATGTGTCCAGTCGCAAACAAAATACGTGGAGTTTCTCATAAATATGCAGTACTTACTTAAATATCCACATAACCATGAGGCTAGTTTTCTGGAAGTTTAATTAGTCACAAGAAACGTTTCTTAACTACCTGGCTTTGATATCATTAATGATTTAGTAGTGGAACATTTTGAGCGTCGTGGTGAATGCTTCCCTCCTTCTCTCCTCAATATATTGATCAAACATCTTTCACAAGCAAACCTAGAAATATGCAAACATATAGAAACAATGCAGTCGACCTTCAAAACCTTTTTTTTTACAAAATATTACTATTGTTTAAGCACGTTCTAATAGGCTAATAGGCAAAATAAAATATTGTCATACTTCATACGCACGACCTTCAGAACCAGTCGTAAGCTCTCCGAGAATAGTGAAATCCATTTTAGGCAATTATCGCCTTTAATTCTACAAAGGAAAAATGGGGCAACAAATATATAAAAGAACATGAAATAAAAAAGAAGCACACAAAATGTGACATAACATTTGTCAACACCAATATAAAGTTATATTTCTCTACTCAAAATGTCCAAAACATTGTTCAAGGTAAAATTACTGGCAATAGTTTTTAATTATGTTAAACTGACACGTACGTTGGGATTTCTTTGTCTAAAATTACGGTTTGACTACGTCACTGACAAATGCGCAAAAATGAGAAATGAAGATTCTGGCGAAATTGCTCCATCCTCACTACATAAAAAATTTAAATTCTAGAGATTTTTTTAGACACTTTTTCAAACTAAACTTTTCCAAGGTTAAATATTAGACAGTTTTCAATTTTGAATTTATTACTTTCAATTCTGGAATATTTTTTTCTAATTCTTACTTTCAAATTTTATAATTTTCTGCCTTTGAATTTAAAATTTTTGTAAATATAATCTTCAATTTTGAATTGTCAATCTTCGATATATAATTTTGCAACATTTACTTATTTAATTCTTTCATTAATTATTCTAATTTATAAGTTGTGTCCATTTTTCTAAATTATTTGTAAATTCTCTATCATTTCTGGATGATTTTTAAATCTCAATTTTTGATTATCGTGTTCTATATATATATATATATATATATATATATATATATATATATATATATATATATATATATATATATATATATATATATATATAAAGAGATAGATAGATAGGTAGATAATACAGTAGTGTATTGCTTGTGTATGTTTCCAACAATAATTGATTCCGGAAAGATTTTTTGTGGCTTCTACTTCTATTATAGAAGTGTTTGAATCTTTAAACAAAAGTTCGCTATACTTCCAAGTCTGTTATTCGTAATGTATGACTAAATATGCATACTGTATAGGTTTCACAGCAAACATTTCGCTCTATCTTGTACTGGGAATAGGTTGCAATTCAATGATCATTTACTCATTTGCCATAAGTTATTAAAGTAAGAGTTTAATCATTTGGATATATGTGATGTGCGTCAAATACGCAGAATTTTCCGATTTGATGCAAAAAAGTCGACGACGGTACGTAAATTGACGCACCCCAATGTTATCTTTTGCTGCTTAAGGGAAACAACGGTTTGGTCTAAATATCGTCACCGGTACTTGTGTCAGTGTAATTTAGATTTTTAGCGTAGCTTTTAACAATTTTTCAGTCATATCGTTACCATGTCTGCAGTGTGACAGTTTATAGTGATGTCTAGCACTGAGGCATCATGCCGCAGACGTGACATGATGTCCTAACCAGTCACATTATCCTGACACCAGGCCGACCAGTCCTAACACTAACTTCTTAATGCTGAACGCCAAGCGAGGCACTTTTAGTACCTTTTTTAAAGTCTTTAGTATGACTTGGTCGGGATTCGAACCTGAGATCTCCCGCATCCGAGGCGGACGCTCTAACCGCTAGGCCACAGGAACGGTATTACCTGTACGTAAATTGACGAAACCCAATTAATGTTTTGCTGATTAAGACAAAATAAACGTTTGGTCCAACTACTTCATTGGCTAGATTACAACTCTGCTCAAACAGAAAAAAAAAAACACTCGCACGTCAATTTCTTACGCTAAAGTTCTCATAATGCATAGGGTTACAACAGAGTGTGGAACCTGGAGCTGACCTTATGTGAACTGTAACTGTCACATCATTTGTAGCAAAAGAATGTTAGAACCATAAATCACCACCATCAGGCGAAAATAAAAACAAAATGATTTTACAGTGATACTCACCAGAAAATATTTTATGTGCTTCCGTGTCTCACAAAGAAGCAACAATTTATATTCCCTCAATTATATGCATGCGTTGTTCAAAGATATTATCAGCGTTCAAATGAAAATGGAGTCCAAGGTAAAAATAAAAAGCACAAGAAAACTTAAAATAGATTCAAAACCAAAGAAATTATCATTTTATAACCGACCGTCGATAATAGTATTACTATCGAACCAGAGGAGACTTCATCATATAATAGATGAGGTAACCGTTACATGTAAGATAAACGTAAGTTTCTGCAACAATGGTTGAAAACATACAGCTGGCTACGTTTTCAAAAAGAAGTTAAGTCGAGTGAAGAATGTGATAGTGAAGACGCCTTTATGTTTAGCCTTATATGTACAAAGGCTAAAATAAACCTCAATGACCAAATGTGCACACAAAAACAAAACCTTTCATAACAGTACACTGAAAATGCATGCTGGGGTGCCAGAAAACAAACTGCTGATTGAACTACAAATACTATCCAAATTTGTGAATGACATTTTGTCCAAGTCTCAACATATCTTGATTTCAATATTACGTGCATTGCTTTATTCGCTACACTCGGAAATGAACACAACTATGACACCTAAAATTGTTGTTGTAGTGGTGGTGGTGGTCTGTATTATACTGGCGTGCGCACACAAGTGCATTTGACAGTTGTTTATTCCTGCACCGCATACTGTTCATTTTCCTTGGGGAATGGAATTGCTCCACATTACCCAGGCTTTATTGCACTCAAGGAGTACTGTTAATTGTTGCCGTCAGGTAGCATAAAAATAAGTCATATAGCTACCTTGATGATAGGCCAATATCAGTAAGAATAGTCCCAACACACACTCATATTGTTCATTCTACCTAGTCTAGTCTTGAGTTAGGTGCGCGCTTTGCATGCCTATTTTTGGCAGATGGTGGAGAGGTCCGGAGGAACCGTAAGGGTAAGGTGGGTCCATGTCACGGCCAGTTATCCAGGGCTGTCTCCAGGGTGTTGGTTCACTCGTGCGTGTTGGTTTGCTCTGGTCCTCTATGTTGCTTTCCTCTGTGATGTATCAATGGCTGTTTTCTGGTTGATGGTGTGCGCATTACATGCTTTTTGGTGGTAGTTGGCAGAGAGGTTTGGTGGAAAGGGTAAGGCGGCTGTCTCCGGGGTGTTGGTCCACTTGTCTTTGTTGGTTTGTTTTGGTCCTCTGTGTTGTTTTCCTCTGTCATGTTTCCACTGTTGCTTTCAGGTTGTTGGTGCCCGCATTGCAAGCTTGTTGGTGGTAGTTGACAGAGGTGTCCGGATAAAGGGTAAGGCGGTACTATGTGGCGGCTAGTCATCCAGGGCTGTCTCCAGAGTGTGGTCCAATTGTGGAAACTTTGTTTGCTTGAGAAAATTTTGTTTTAGAACTCTGTGTTGTTGTTTTATATTAGTGATAAGAAATGTTAATTAGAGAACCTTGGGTGACAGTCAATTGGTTATCGGTGTTTTGTCACCTTTGTTACTAGCCCTGATGGTCATGTGCTTAGACACCTTATACGTGTTATTTTTTGGGTCTTACTGGGTAATCCTGTCCTTTATTGGTTGCTTGATCCATGATTTTGTAGTCGATTTACTCACTTAGAGTAATTAATTGCCGCCTTGTGCAACTGTACCTATCGGTCTTTGGGTTTTTTGATCACCTCATATTGTCTATTTGGGGAAATATTGTGATTTGCCTCCTTGGGCCTAATGGTCATTTTGGTTTTAGAACACCTTATACTGACTATTTGAGGCCATATTGTATTACTCTAATTTTGATGGGAAGACTGTCACCACTTGGTATGGATAGGGTTATTGTCAGATGGTTAGCTAGAGCAATAGATTCAAGTGAGAAATGAGGGAGAGTATGGTTTTAATAGAGAGAGGGGTTTCTTGGTTTCTTTTGTTTTTGGAGGGGGTGTTTTGTTTTTTATGCGTGAGGGCTTATTTTTGCATGGAGAGACCACTATGCTGAAAAATCAGGTCCCTATCGACGTATCATAGACTCTCATCCAGTGTTAATGCCATCCGCACTGTACGTTTTTTGGGCGGTGTATTACCTAGGATTATGTTTTCGCTGTGTATTTATATTTTTTATTTATAGCGTTTCTATTGAGCTGTATGCCTATTTATTTTATTTCATTTGGGCAGACTTCCTTCCTGAAAAATCAGGTTGTTGTTTTAGATTTTCCTTTTTAGGTCAGTTTCATTTAAATATTTGATGATATTATTATAAGTTGTGGTTAGGTTGTTGTTACCATCTAATAATCTGGGTATGTTAATGGGGCTTTGATGTGTTTTTATGCAAGTTGGAAATTAGTGTTGTGGGAAATCGTTGAAAATGTGTTTTAGGTCCTCTTTGGTGCGGCAGTGGTGACAGTTGATGTTGACCAGTTTTAGTCGTAAGTGCTTGCCAAAACTGCCGGCAAATTATGTTTTTTTTATATGGTTTATAATCTTTTGGAACAGGCTGTTTACCTGTGGTGGTTTTATGGACCTGTCAACTTCTTTAACTGTGCTGTTTTGTTCCCTGCCTTTATTAGTAGAGTTACAGTATTCCTGCCATTTATTGTTTATATATGTTTTGGCTATACTTTGTTCTTCGTAGATACTATACTTTAGTGGAGCCGGCTTGAGGTCTTTTAGCTCATTTT